CTCATTTTTTAAACTATACAGACATATAAAGAAGAAAAAGACAAAAGTCTAATTCTCTATCATCTTACTGCTAGTTAACCGTGTACATGAAATTTTAAGAAAAGAAAAAAACAAAAAATAGAAACATCTTCCTATTTCTTTCCCCTAGGGAACCACTATTAAGTTTCCTCCTCCAATTCCTTCTGGAAATTTCTGCATACATATAGCAGCACATAGATCCACCTGAACAAATGGCCTTCCTAGAAATTCATTCAAAGGCAATATCCTTTATACTCTTTCTGCACTCATAAAACATCTGCTTATATCTTTTCTCCTTCCTGCTCTGCCCCTAGAAGCCAACCCTCCACCCAGCTCTCAGGCTTGCCTCATTTTCTACTCTCCGACTCTCAGCATGAGTGGAGAAGGCAGCTCCTACCCCACTGGGGCCTCACCTTGGTGCCCACTCCCGGCAGGGCACAGAGGGCCTTGTGGGCCTCCTCGTAGGGGGCCTCTCGCAGCTGCTGCAGCCAAGTCAGCCCGCCCTGTTCTTCGAGGATGGCTCGGGCACTGGCACTCACGTAGCGGGCACGGTAGCCCAGGCCCAGCTTCCTGAGATGAGCCTCCACCTCCGGCCCTGTGGGGAGTTGGGAGGAAAGCAGGGGTCAAGTCTCTCCTGTCCTCAGGCTGGTGTGTGAGCCCCCACCCCACAGGAATGCTTTTCTTAAATACCCTCTCCCACCTCACCACCTAGGAGACAGTGGCCACTTTTATGTGCAAAGGAAATGGTTAAAGCTTGGGTTCTGCCCCTCTACAAATGTTTTCTGCGTACCTATTACGCACTGGGCACTGGAGCCCAGCTCTAGTCCTGGGACTGGGAAGGACTTGCTGCCCTTCTCAGCTCCCCATTTGAGTTCCTTAATCTTTCCAAAGAGCGTTTCACACCCATGATCTAAAAAAATAATCATAGTAATAGCAACAGCTTCTATCATCAAGTGCTTTAGGTACATTATCATGCTGACTTTTCTCAAGAATCTCGATGACAGTACTATTGTTTTCCCCATTTTATGGGCAGGAGAAATGAGGGTTTAGAAGAAATTAAATAACTTGCTTAAGAAAGGATGTGGGGGAGATGAGATCTTGCATCCAGGTCTGGGGAACCAATGCCTTGTGTTCTTAATCCCTTGGCTTACAGTATACTGCCTCATGACTACTTTAGTCATCTCCCAAACCCTTCTAGATAGAAACTGTTATTCCTTTTCTGCAAACAAGATAAGGCCTAGAGAGGTGAATGAATTTCCTGAGGTCTTATAACAACTAAGCAAGCAGTTAAGATTCAAGATCAGGTTTCTAAGCACTAAAAACATTCTTTTCTTTTTTTTTGAGACAGAGTGTCTCTCTGTCACCCGGGCTAGAGTGTCATGGTATCAGCCTAGCTCACAGAGACCTCAAACTCCTGGGCTCAAGCAATCCTCCTGTCTCAGCCTCTCAAGCAGCTGGGACTATAGGCGTGCACCACCACGCTGGCTAATTTTTTCTATTTTTAGTAGATACGGGGTCTTGCTCCTGCTCAGACTGGTCTCGAACTTCTGATCTCAAGTGATCCTCCTGCCTCAGCCTCCCAGAGTGCTAGGATTACAGGCGTGAGCCACATTCTCTTTTCTTTAGGCAGGCTGTCTCCTTGCTATGTAGTCCCCAAGCACTTCCCATAGCTTTCTTCTCCCATCTGCCAACTGACATACTTGCCTCTGTAGAATACTTGCCACACAGGGCTGCTGTGAAGAGCACGTGTTCTTGGATGCAAAATTGTTTGGGTCACCGTAGTGATAGCAGTTTGAATTTTACATGTACTTCCTGAGTGCCAAACACTGTGCTAGGTACAATATGTGTATTCCTTTATTCAACGCTCATGACAGCTCTGATAGGTAGATGCTATTATTATCCCATTACACAGATAAAGAAACTGAAGTACAGAGATGTTAAATAATGTGCCCAAGTGATAGAGGTGGGATTCAGACCAAGAAGTCTGTCTCTAGAAGGTATGCTCCTGACCCCAAAGTACTGTACACTGCATACAGATGTTTTTCTGATGAGGCATTGAAACCACTGGGCAAAAAGCACAGACTAGCGAGGTGCTGACATTTCAGGGACGAACAGGGAAGATGAGGAGTAATTGGGGCTGATCAGACCTGGCAGGGTGGTTCTGGATGGGGGCAGTTTTGGGGAAGGCAGGAAGCCTTGACATATAGTAACCAAAGAAGAACTGAACAGATCCTGAAAGCTAATCGAAGGCCTAGGGGCAGGGGACCCACCTACTCACCAGCCAGGGCCTGCAGGCTAGGGAAACCATGGTAGGTGACATCATCAAGCTGTATGAGCCGAGGTCCAAAGGCCTGGCACAGCCGTTCCACCATGCCAGTGATGCGGGTGATGTTGTTGTTGGAGGAGCAGATGAAAGAGAAAAGGCATTCGGTGGGGTCCTGTCGCAGTAGTCGCACACCTGGGGACCAGAAAGGCAGTGGGGAGGAGAAGCACTTGCTGTCAGGAGTGGGACCCTCTCACCCTCAGATCAGATCCTAGGTATCAAGGCTCCAAGTGAGAATGAGGGATAGCATTGTTAGAGAAAGCAACACCAGCTGGGTGTGGTGGCTCACGCCTATAATCCTAGCATTTTGGGAGGCCAAGGGGGGAGGATTGCTTGAGGCCAGGAGTTCAACACCAGCCTGGGCAACATAGTGAGACTCATCTCAACCAAAAAAAAAAAACAAAAAAAAAACACAAAAAAGCAACACTAGACCTCTTCTCATTCCTCATAGCATCTTGTGAGATCTGAGTTACCATCTCATTCTACAGATAAAGAGGCCACAATGTAATCACCATGAAGGCAAGTATTTGTGCCCATTTTGTTTGTTGCTGTATCCCCAGTCACAAAGCAGATACTCTGTATATATTTACAAAATGAATGAAGTAACTTGTCCCAGGTCACACAGCCAGGAATGGTCTCAATATCCTTGTCACTTCACTATGGTGATCAGTAGGATAATAGTAATAATAGGCCACACATGGTGGCTCACATGTGTAATCCTAGCACTTTGGGAGGCTGAGGATTGCTTGAGGCCAGGAGTTCAAGACCAGCCTGAGCAACATAGCAAGATTCTCATCGCTACAAAAAATAAAAAAATTAGGCAGGTGTGGTGGTGCGCACCTGTAGTCCTAGCTACTTAGGAGGCTGAGGCAGGAGCATCACTTGAACCCAGGAGTTTGAGGTTACAGTGAGCTATGATCACACCACTGCATTCCAGTCTGGGTGACAGAGTGAGACCCTATCTCTAACAACAACAAAAATTAAATAAATAGTAATAATAATTACTATGTGCTGGGCACTATTCTAAGCATTTTATATGTTAGCTCCTTTAATCCTCATAAAGTTCTATGAGTAGATACAGTCTTCATCTTACAGATGATAAAACTGAGTCACAGAGAAGTAACTAATCCCTGCTCCAGGCCCTGTACTCACCTTGGAACTTCTGAGCCACCTCTTGGAAGTGGGAGTCCACGGAACCCCAATGGCGATACAGTTGAGCCAGGCTGACATCTAGCTGGAAGTAACCGCGCACGGCCTCCAGCTCCTCTAGTGTGGGCCTGCCAACCCAGCCCTTGTCCCCCCGGTACACAGTGCAGTAGAGCTTCTCTTCAGTTTGAGTCAGTGTCCATACTTGGTCCGCCAGTACACCACTCCAGTGTGCAGGGCTTTGCTCCCTCCACCTAAGCCCGTAGGTACACAACAGCCTTAGCACTCAGTTTCCCCTCCCGCACCCTTTGGGGTCCCTCCCATCCTATAACCATTCCATTTACAAAACTGATTTAACTGCAAAGTAAAAGAGCTATCTTTTATACATCGGTTATACCGCTTGGTCCACACAACACCACTGCACACATTACCTCTACTATATAAAGCAGATAACAGGCTGGCTATCCATGCCTGTTTCCTCTTTTGTACCCTGGAGTTTCTTCTACCACCCCCAAACTTCTTTTGCACCCACTGCCGGCAGTGCTGAGGAGTCAGGAGCCAGGGTTCCAGGGGAGGGGCCTCCCAGGTGCAGTCACTCACCGGAAGGACTGTCCAGAAGCCAGAACCAGGTCCAGGCGCAGCTCAGAGAATGGACACGGAATGGAGGCCCACAGGGCCGGGGTGGAAGCTAGAGTACGATGCCCCATGCTACCGGGCTAACACTTCCACGCGAAGCTTCGCCCCATAATGGCCCCGCCCACTCAGAAGCAGATTAACTCCGAGCCCAAAGACCACGCCTCTTAGGGCCTCGCCCACTGGGTCCTGGCTTCTTAGTCCCTGTTTAAGACCCCGCCATATTTCATTTAATTCCTCCACTCCCTGCAGGCTCCTCCCTTTGCGCTTCACCAAAGTCCCGCTCCTCCCACTCTGTCCCCCCTTCCTGCTCCAATCCTCCTGCTTTCCTGAGGTGCAGGTCCCGCCCCCTCCTCCTGGCGTATCCTCCAGGGCCTCAGGGCGCTCACATCTGTTCCCGCAGCTGCCTAGACTTTCGGAAGCGGGTGCAAACGTGTTCTTCCGGCTTCTCACCGGGCCGACCTCGCCATCACCGGAAATACGACTCAAGCGCCGTTTATTTGACCCAGATGTAGCCAATACGAGGAGGAAGTGGGAGGTGCCAATGAAAAGTCGGGCGTGGCGGCGGATGGGCGGGGCTCTCCGAGGCGCCGAAGCGGTTGGCGCGCGCTGGGCTCCCTGCCGGCTATTGGCCTTTCGTCTCTCGGGATTCACCGCACTCCGCACACTGCAGTGTCCTCTCCCGGCGCCCTGAGGCCCCAATCTTCCTGACTGGTCTCTGAGCCCTTAGACTCCTCAGGGCTGTGGGTCCTCAGAACCACACCCTTCCCCAGCCCTTCAGGGAGCCTTTCTCCACTGAGTCTCTTCGAGTCTCAGATATTCGCCCTCCTTGGGCCGCCTCCCATGAACCCTCTGTTCGCCAAGAACCGGACCGGACACAGCTCCGGCCCCTCAGCCCTCGGGAAATGTCTCCAATGCGTCTCCAGAGGATTCTCTTCCGCGTTCGCCCGCTAAGCTTGTCCCCTCCAAGGCCCTCTCACCAGGCCTCCACTCTGCAGTTAGGCGTCCTCACAGACTTCATGACTTCGGAGGCCTGTCTCTTCTGGACTGTTCCGTCTCGGCCACAGCCCGCAGGCTGCCACAGCTGCTCCCTTCGGTCTCGGGCATTCCTTCAACAATGCTCCATCTGTTTACACCCCTGCGCCGCCGAATGGGGCCTCTGTAAGGGCTTTCTCTGGGGTGGGCCCAGAGAGGCAGCTCGTTAGGTTGAGTCCAAGTACAGGTGTGTGGCCTTGGGGCTGCCTAACCCGGTTGCCAGTGTCAGCCACCTGGACCCAGGAAAGATGTATTATGTAATTTCTTCCCTTCTGGAGGAAAACGTGGAAAAACAAGTAGCTAGGAGCCATGAACTTTATCTGGGCCGTTTTTCACCTTCTTGCATAGTAATTTTGGTTGTATCTGAATAATTAGATTACAAGTTCTTGAAGGGCAAGATCTGCAGCTGATTGATCTTTGTGTTCCACCTACAGTACCAAGCAGGGTGCACCGTGAGCATGGTATCAACATCAGACCAGTGTGGTCTTTGTCTCAGCTCTACTCAGTGGCAGCAAGGCCTCAGGCAGCCATTTCCTGTGATTATCTCTTACAGGCATGGCATCCCACAGGTGCCTAGCGCTTGGGAGACATTCCTTCAATAAATATTGGCTGAGTCGGAAAAGGTTGTGGAGGAATGAAGAGCAACCCTCCACATCCCTGCTCTGTCCCCAGTTAAGCAGAGGGGAAGGTCTCCGCTGTAGTGACTCTGAAGCACTTGAGCCACAGTACTGGCAAAGGATTTGAAGCCTCTAAAGTCCATGAAGGAATCAGCAGTTGACTCTTCCTCCGGCAGTTCAGCATACTGGTTGAAGAGCCTACTTTGCAGACAAATAGACCAGAGTTCAAATCCTAGCTCTACGACTTCCTAGTTGTGGGAACTTAGGCAAGTTACTTAATTTTTCTAAACCTCAGCATCTTTGTGGAGATAATTAGCCTGTGATTAAAGCACCCCATAGTTACAAGGATTACACAAAACTGTGTATCTAAAGGTGTGTAGCACAGGGCCTGCCACTCAGTAAGTGCAAGAGAAATGGGAGCTCTCATATTGTCTCTGTTGTTGTCTTATAAATGTAGCATGCACAGCAGTCAGCAACCATTGGACCCAATTAGGTACCATCCCTGGGGCACAGAACTTCCCTTTGTATCCCTCTGCTCTGGCAAAAGGCAAGAACAAAGAATTCTAAATAGACAGTTTATTTTCTAAGAATCAATATATTTTCTTCCTTTGAAATAAATACAAACCAGTTTGAAAGGTGGGGGGAATCTATGGGAAAGAGAAGGGAAATGGGGACAGGCCCCAGTCGTTTTTTAGTACCAAATGACTCTGGCGCGACCCGGAAACGCAGTTACAAATGAGAATAATTTAAATTCTCCGATAATTACAGTATTTACAACAGCAGGGGAGGGGGTCACCTAGTGCCCCTCTTCCGGGCTGGACAGACATCAATCCCACTGCTAGGCTGGGCAGATGCCCGCTCACTTCACCACCTGTAAGGGCCTCAGGCCTCTAGGCAGTTGCGGATTCTCCTGGCATGAGCAGGCAGAGGTGGTGGGATGGCCCGTTTTATGCAGTGTCCTAACCTTGGCCCACCACCCTGCCCTATAATACCGTGAGGTCTCTGGAGCTCTTTCTGACCTGTGGGACCTCCCCTCTCCTTGCACTGAACCACCATGGGCCCTTGGAGTGTTCTGTACAGTCCAGCTGCACTCAGGGCAGGAGGGACCTCCCCTACCCAGCTTCCCCTGAGACTGGCCCCAAGACCAGGAATGAGTCAGTGCAGAGGCCGGTGCCACTCCAGGACAGTGAGCTAAGGGGAGGAGAGAGGTCACAGGGCACTGCAGGTTGGGCTGTGTTGGGCAGTATCAATCACTATCGCTGGTCTCACTGCTCTGCTCGCCCTGCACCTTGCTGCGGTGCTGCAGAGCCCGGTGGTAGGCGATCTGTACTGACTTGCGGATGTTGGACTTGCGGCCCTCCAGCATCTTCTCCTTGTCCAGGTCCTGGTTCACACCCAAAGGAACCAGCTTGGTCCTGGGCAGCCATTGCCTATAGGACAAGGTAAAGATCAAATAAATCATCTCAGGGAGAACAACAAGCACCAGCCTTCGTCCCTCTATTCACTCAAACACACTTCCTGAGTGCTTACTCTGGCCAGACTCTGTGGTGGGTACTGGGGTTACAGAGACTAATAGATACAGTCCCTGTCCTCAAGGGTCTGCTCATCGTCTAGTGATGAAAGAGCCCAGTCAACAGATATATTGGGGGTGGCAGGGAGGGTAGGTAATCATAGGGTATTTATAGGTACAAAAGGAGGAGCCCTGACCTAACCAGAAATAGGTACCCTATTCTATAGGCTCCAGGCAGACTTTACTGAAATTGAATATCTTCTGCAGACAATTAACAAAAAGACTACATACGTAAAACAAGGATTCAGAGTCTGAATGTTAATTCCTGCTTTACCCTGATCTTGTCATTGTGGAGGCACAGATGGGAAAACTAAATCTAGACGCCATCTGAGTCTGGGTGGGGAGCCACACCCATATTTGTTACATTCACTGATGGTCCTTTGGTTTCTAGCTATAGCTGTTTGTCAGCTACTGCCCACTCAGCCTCGCAGACTCACGGTCAATACAACCCGTTTGCTCAAAATCCATTCTAAGTCCCTCCCCCACTGATCTGTGATAGCCCAGTCTGTCCGTTGCTGGAGTTTCCTGGCAATCTGCCCCAATACCACACAGGCCTGCATCTGTGGCTACGAGCCACCAAATGCTCCCTTCTTTTCTTACCAGGTTCGTTTGTTGTCAAAGAAGAGGACGAGGTAGAGATGCTCTCGGGCCTCCTGGGTCATCTGCTCCCCAAGTTTCAGCACCTCCAGGGGGGGCACAGGAATGGGAACCCCATGGTGGAACATACCTTCTCGGGGCATCTTTGGATCAATGATCTGAGGGTGTAAGAGCACAGTTTGGTTCAGTCCACTTCCTAAGGCTTGTCCTATCCAAGAATTTGGAGACTACATCTGAAGTAGGAACAGAGAAAGGTTATCATGCTACTAGGGCTGCAATGCTGACCCTCAGCTTCTTCCCATGCTAAATTATTTCAGAGCTCAAGGGGCAAAGATAAGGGAAAAGGAGAGACAGAGAAACTGGCTGCCCACCAGTCTGTCTGCCAAGGAACCTTGTGTCCCACAGCTCAGCAGAAAGTAAGAGACATCTGCTAATTGTAAGTCTGTGTTCTGGGGTTAGAAAGCAAGGGGTATGAGGAGAGTAGAGGAAACCTACCAGAGCTGGGTATGATGGATACCCTCGGCATTTGGCCCACACAAGGTCCAGAGCGTCCAGAGGGGAGTCCTCATCCTCCGACAGCCAGCCAGCTCCCCGGCCCAGACTCTTCCTTACCACTTCACAGGAATGGGAGAGAGAAGGTGGATCAGCAGCTGGGGGACTGGCAAAGCCTTGACAACGGGTTCCCAGCATCCCTGGCCTCGGGCAAGGGTACTTACTGCTGTGGCCCACGCCGCGGCCAGTGCCCACGGAGTAGGCCTCATTCTCAGTGCCTGAGGTATCCTCACTGCTGTCCTCTGGGAATGTGCCCCGAGAGAAAGAGGGTTTTCCCCGGCCTTGTTTTGAGGGTGTTGTGCTGTGGACAAGACAATGGAGAGCACAGCTCAAAGGAGGGGAAGAATGGGGAATGACATGGTAGGTGTCATCTCCACGTTAAGCTCCCAGGGTCTGAGACTTCTGGAAAGCAGAAGCTAAATTAGGAATTTCAAACTCAAATGCCCTCGGGGACTAGGCTGGTGATCTGACTGAGGTAGGCTGGATTGAGCAGTAGTGGGAAAGAATGTATGTGCTGTCTAAAAACAGTACTGGCCAGATTTGACAGATCTTCTGATTTTTAAAAAGAATACAGAGCCTAGGAATTTTATGTGGCATTTCTGGATTCATCTTTTGAAAACACCATGCTGGCCAAACAAAATATGTTTACAGGCCAAATCCAGGCCACAAGGCATTAGTTTATGCCCTCAGCTCTAAACCATCACCTTAACCCAGGATGGTTCCTGCTGTTCCATTATGGTGAAACTGATCTACCCCATTTATTTTGCAGAGAATGCTGGGTTTGAACCATCTTAATCTATGCTGAGATGGCAGCCACCCCACTTCCAATATGGAAACCTGGGAAAGCCCCTGAGCACTGGAAGGGCATCCACAGAGGCTGGCCTTGATCTGGAAAGCTGGTACCTGGTCCGGTCTGAGGCAGCGCTGCTGCTGCTACTGCTGCTGGACTCAGAGTCTGAGCTGCTCCGGGGGAGGCTGCAGTCATTACGGTATACCAAGAAACTCTTCTTCACTGGCTGGTTTCCACCGCTGAAGCCATTGGCTGGTAAGTCTTGGTTGGGGGGATGAGGAGGAGGGAAGGAACCGGTCAGGAAGGTATAGATCAGAGATGACATAGGGTAAGAGGGACTTAGAGCTTGGGTTCCCCTTCTGTGCTGGAAAATTCCTCCATGCTTGTCCAGTGGATCTAGCTCTGGGCAGTGTCTACCACAGTTGGACACAGCCCTGTCCAACCCTTGCTTCCCCTGGCAGTTATCGGCCTTAGGACACAAATGGCTTAAAGGGCAGGAGATCCCCAAGGAAGGTGAGAAGAGAAAAGGTGAAGTGATACAATGGGGGTTGGAGGGGGCACCCTGGGTGGGAATCTAGCTGGGTCAGTGTCTCTGGGCCTCGGTTTTTCCGACTGTAAAATGAGTGGATTGGGATTAAAGGATTCCTAAGGGCCCTCATAGCTCTGTCTTTTATGGGCAAATAAAGGGATAGCTAGGAAGAATGGCAGCTTTTTGCTCACTCTCTTGGGGGGCTGGGTGATGGTGACGCTCACCCATTGGGGGGTCTTCTGTGGACTTATCACTGTCGCTGTCTGAGCTCGAACTGGGCCGGGGGCTCCTACCCCGCTTGCGCTGACGCAGGGAGCCCATGATGGGGAGCTGGGGGGGCCCCACAGGACTGCCTCCGTGGCTGGGGGTCATCTGGCTCTCCCGGTTTTTGGGGGGCCGGCCCGGCCTCTTGGGCGGTCCAGCTGTCTTCGGGTTCTTTTTGGAGAACAGAACTGAGGTTCTCCTGCCCACCTCATGTGCGGGGGTTGAGGACATGTTGGGACCCAGGCCTGGAGCAGAGAAAGAGAGAAGGAGAGTTGGTGAAGGGCCTGATGTGAGAAGGGTAGATATCCAGGGTCATTACTCCTGCTAGAGCTCGGGAAATGATTTTGGGGGCATGGACTTTGTAACATTAAACTCTTATACAAACGGCCAGAGAGGCAGTTAAGAGGTCCCTGTTTGGAGAATAAGGAAGAAAGTACAGCTAGCTGTGCAGGAGGCACCTCTGCCTGGGGGATGGCAGGGGCTGAGTACGTGCTGCAGAGCCAAAGTCTGACTTGCTTTGGGGTCCGCCTTGCTATGGGATTCAGACCTTTGCTCGTCTCCTGGCTGCTGCTCTCCTCCGCGGCACTGTCTGTCTGCCCATCCTTGTCACAGGCTGCTGGGTGGGGTGTCAGACTACCCCGGCTGGAGGGGCCATGCCGCTCAGGCCCATCCCGTCCAGTCTCCCGCTGGTGGGCAAGCTTCCGCCGCAGTGCCGTCATCTCTTTCTTGATCATCTTTGCACGCCGTGAGCGGCCCACGCTCTGCTTGCTGGCATTCACCTCATCCAGCCGCTCCAGCAGCAACTTCAGCTGCTCTTCCATGGGCAGGTGCTTCTGGTTCTCCAGCAGGACCAGCCGTTCTTCCTCTGCTGCTGGGGTAGAGTTGGGAGGAAAAGCTCAGACTCAGGGCAGCCCTCTGGGCCCCTAGAACCTGGGCAAGCAGCAAGAAACCCCTCTTCCTCCCTCAGCTTCTCACCAGAAACAGCTGTAAAATAGCAGCACCAAGATGTGGAATGGCGGGCACTGCTATCCATTCCCAGTGTGGCTTCTTGGGGAACATTCCTGGGAATAGCTTGCCACTGCTCAGCCTAGCTCCTTTCTGCCTACACTGCCTGCTCCCAGGAGGGGACTTTTGGAAAGCTATCCATCCCTGGCATTGGCCTCTTAAGTGTGTGTGTGTGACATATCACCCACCATCTTCAGTGTGGTGTGGGGCCTCGTCTCCAGCCAGGCTGTGGGGGATATGCATGCCCGTCTCAAAGTCAATGCCCATTTTTTCTGCCTGGCGCCGGGCCTGACGGAGCACAGCACCACCCTGCTCACGGAGCCGCACTGCCGCCCGGTAGAAGATGGTGTCCTTGGCGTTATACTTGAGGCAGTTGCTGACGATAAGGTTGAAGTCCTCCTCAAAATCATCAAAGTTCAAGTAGCGGTAAGCCTCCAAGTTCTGCTTCATGGTGAAAAAGTCCATGGGCTTTTTGATGTGGTCTAGGTAGTCAGGTACCTGGGAGAGCAGGGCAGGTGTGTCTAAGTGGAGATATGTACCTCAATCCCCCAAACCCTGCTCCTAACAAGCCCCTATGAAATGCATCCAGCAACCTCCTCCCACCATGGTTAGAGGCAGGTATATAGCACGGGGAAAGGAAAGCTGGATTCTAGTTCCTGACTTTACCCGTCACGAGCTGTGTGACCTTGGTAAGTCTCTTAACCTCTCTAAGCCTTCTTTTCTTCTCCTGGAAAATCGTGATGCAAGTACAGCTATATCTACCTCCTACAGCTGCACGAGGCTTCACTAGGAAAATGACTAGGAGAATCCTCTGGAAAAAACACGACCTTGCATTCCTATAGCTCTTTTTTTACTTATCAGTAAGACTTTATATAGAGAAGCTGCTGCTTCAGGCCTCTCATTTTATACCTTTTAGATAGAAGAGTCTGCCAGTCAGGACCTAGGGCTTCAGAGCTGGTTCTTTAGGTGCTGAGCCTTCTAAAGTTTCCGTTCTAGGGTTTAGCACCCCAAAAGTGTCTTCCTGCCCTAGGATTATTCATTTGGCAAAACTCAGTCCCTGCCTCTGAGGAAACGGTGCAGACTGTCTCCCATTATGGGCCCTTGGGGTGTGACAGAGACAAGACAGAGTCTAGGTGATACATATGGCTTCAGTTTATCCTGCCCCAGAGCCGCCAGCCCCTCTCTTCAAGGTTCCCACCTAGTCCCTGGCCCAGACCTGCAGCAGGGGTCCAACTGGGAGAGGAACAGAAAGAAGGTGGAGTGAGGGGAAGGGATTCTTACTTCGTCCAATTCGGTTACCTCAGACAGAGGGACCGGCTCGCTGAAGATGTTGCCTGTGTCCTTCTCTTGGAGCTGTTCTAAGGTTTTGCGAAGGAGGATGAGGAAAGGGGTCAGCTGCATCTCCATGGCAATCTGTTGGACCTTGATCTGACAGAAAAAAGGCCCGATAAGCCAGGCCCAGGCCAGTCGCCTGGCACAGAGGTCTGAGGAGATGGTCCCAGCTGGCTTGGGAACTTGCCTTCCTTCCCACACCCACAGCTGGGTATACTCACTCAGGTCTACCTTCTACAAGACCCTGCCCAATAAAACTTGCTTCAACTACTCTGGCCTTCCCCTCCCTCGAACTCCCACCACCAGCTACCTGTATCACACAATTTAGGATTCTGTTCATATTCTCCCGTGTTTCGAATAGGCTTGAGAGCACACTGAGCCCCAGGAGATCTGACTCTAGCATTGTCCCTGTTGCTTCCTGGCTGGGGGACACACACTTTTCCTTTGTCTGTTTTCTCCTTTGTGAAATAGAGCTGGCTCAGTAACACTCACCGTCTCCCTTTTGAGTTTCTCCCGCTTGCGGATCAATTCCACCAGCAGCCGAGCTCGCTCCAGGTCATGCCGGAGCCGCTGCCAGGACTTGAGCTGTTCTTTGAGGGCCCAGTTCTTATCCTCAGAATCTCTCTGTAGAGGCAAAAGGAGGATCAGGAGATGATGAGAGAGCCAGAGGAAAGGCCTAAGGGGAGGAGAGAGCCCAGGAAACTTGGGTCAAGGGCAGGCCAAGCCAAAGGAGGAAGCACAGTGATTTATTGGTAACTCCTCAACCTATGTGTCCCCAGAACCTGGCATAGAGTACATGCTCAGTATGTGTTTGTTGAATGAATAAATGAACACAAAGGAACAATTTTCCAATGAGCTGATAACCTATAAGGATTTCATTCTGAGCCTGGTTTGAGGGCTAGCTTAAAGAAGGAAACAGCCTACATCTCCTGACACTGGAAGCTACAGTTGACAATCTCAGTCCTTGTCTCCCTGGCCCTAGTTCCACAGGGAATTGGACACAGTACCCCAACTTGGTCGCAGTTCCTCTGAGACTGCAGGTGTGTCTGCAGGCGACGTAGCAGTGGGACCCCATTCCGTGACTGCCGCTTCAGTGTCCAGTAGCTGTGCAGCCTCTGCATGAACTGGCTCTTCCTCTGGATGGTGAGGCGGTTGGTGATTTTACTGAGCCTGGGAGGCAGGGAACAAAGAGAAAACCTGTTGGGCCATGATTCTCTTAAACAGAACAGGGGTCTCTGGCCAGTGAGAGTCCTGAAGGGGGAAAAGGGGAAGTACACCGCTTGTCAAAAAGGCCTGGGACTCTGGGCTTAAGGGAAAGAAGAGTGAGTGGTACCATCAATGCCACTGCAGCAGACAGGAAACCAAGCTCCCAGCACAAAGCCAGCTCCCTAACCCTGTACACCAGGGGCCAGGGAGTTCTGCCCCTAAGACTGCTTTAGTCACTGAAGCCCACAGTACTAATTGACCCTGGGAGCCCCACTCAGACTGAGCCTTTGAAGGTTTTTAGATAAAGTACAATTGTATAGCAGAAACCTATAGTAAATTAAATAAATGGCACAAGAGAGTTAAAAATAACAAGCGATCACAGCCCAAATTAGTGGCAGTAATCACTTCACAACTTGAATGTTCCCCTCCCCTCTCTTCATTCTATTTCTCTCTTTTCATAGTCAGATCATTTCTTCCATTGTGGCTGTTCCATCCTCTATCAAAAAAGGAAGGGGAATTTAAAATATGTTAGGTATACCAGATAAAGATTGACATTTAAGGCTCTTAATGTGAAAAGTCAAGTGACCTGCTAAAGATAACCTCTTCTGGAATTTGGTGGGGTTGTTTTCTTTTTTTTTTTTACTTCTGTGCAGCTCCTGATAGGAAGAAGGAAACCTAGCACTGCCATTTTAGTCAGGGGGCTGTCATTTCCTTTCCGAGAGGGCTGCTTCTTCCCTCACCTGCCTGTCCATCTGCTTCCCACATACCTGTGTGGTGGGATACAGGGCACTGACACCACAGGTGCTGCTGCCCGCTTCTCTGCCAGGATCTTCCGCGCCTTCTTCATCTTGATCCGGGACTTAGCCTTGGCCTTCTTGACTTTCTCTGAGCTCCAGCCCTTACCCTCATCCTCCTCTTCGTCCTCATCCTCCTCACCCTCACTGTGGGACAGGGCGGGCAGGCGGCGCGCTGAACCTGGGGGTGTGTGGATGTCGCAGTATGCTGTCTTTCGGACACTGAAGGACGTGCCGTTGGCACCTGTCTCCCGCACAGGCTCCATCTTCATGTAAAGGCCAGCCTGCTGGGCGCATGTCACATGGAAGGCTGTGTAGCAGTTGGCCTTGTGGCACTGGATGCAGGCCCCTGAACCCCGCTGTTTGCAAATGTAGCAGGTGAGCTTCCAGCGGGCTGGTGGGATGTGCTCAATGCTGTCAATGGGCTCTAGGAAGACCGTGTTGGCAAAGCAGACCTCGGGGATCCACAAGGCACACACCACATGGGCCCAGCGCCCGTCATCTGTCTGCTTGAAGGCACCACCCTTGTTGGGGCACAGGGCACAGTCCACAGCACGGGAGGGTGACTGTAGGCAACGGCGGCACAGCCACTGGCCCTCAGGGATATAGGGGACACCGTAGCACTCCTGGTGCACGGCCAGGTTGCACATGTCACAGAAGAGGATGACATTGCTGTTCTGGCACTCACCATCATTGCAGATACAGCAAACAGCATCCTCGTCCACTAGCGCATTGGGGTCGCCTTTATTGTGACTCTCAAAGTAGGACTCCTTTTCCAGCCGGTCCATTAAGTACTCAAAGATCTCCTGTGGGATGGGATTCACACCTTCTGTCTTCCGACGCTCATTCATGATATCCAGCCAGATGTAGTCCTCCTCGTCCATGTCATACTCTACTTCCTCATCCAGCTCCTCTGCAGACTTCTCGATGTACCTGTGGTGCACACAGGAAGCTCAGCATCACATAGTTGAGATTTCCCTCCCTTAATGACAATGAGTCATATCTGCCACTGAGCACTTACTCTGTGCCTGTGCCTTTACATGTGTTGTCTTGTTCCATCCTCACCTTAACCCAGGGACTACAGATACTATAATCATTCCTATTGTGTAGAAAAGGAACCTTAAGGCTTGGGGAGGTTACTGCACCTGCCCCAGCCCACTTGTAGAGCTGGAATGTGAACGCAGACCTGCTACTCCAAAGCTTGTGTCCTAGCTGCTATATGACATTACCTCCCTGGGTTGCAGCAGCTGAGCCAGACTCCTCTAAAGGGAGGAGGGTGAGGCAGCTAGGATCCATTGGGATGGTCTGGATATGGTGTAAAGAATCTGCGGAAGGATGTCACTGGCAAATTATAATTTAAGTCATTTTAGCACCAGCTGGCAGGGCTTTGACTAAAGCTGTAATAGGTCTTCTCTCAGCTGGTGCCATCATAACTTCAGAGATCCATCAAACTCTAGGTACTATGTTTGTTCTCTGGATAGCCTTGAGAGATAACAATCATAACAGCTAAGATTTGCTGAGCATATATTATGCATCAGGCATTGTGCTAAGTTATTCTTACCACAGCCATAGGGTCAATGTTCTTACTGTCCTCATTTTGTAGATAAGGGTACGGAAGCTTTGAGAGGTTAATTAACTCTCCAACACAGATAGGTCACATAACCAGATAGTCACAGAGCTGGACGCATTCAACTTCCCGGTGCTCTTAACCTCCACCCTATAGTACTCACTGGGCCGACAGGCCTGGAGTGGAGAGCTGCTCCAAGTGCTTGTGATACAAAGCAGGTGCCCCATGATCTTGCCATGCCCTAAGTGGCTCGAACTCTGGCATTGTAGTACAAAGGAAAGAATGGGGCTTCAGCTTCTAACAAACATGGTTTTATTAATAAATCTTGCTTCTGTCACTTTGTGACCTTTAGGACATCACTACTCTTCTCTGAATCTCAGTTTTCTTGATGACCGAATGAGGATACTACTACTACACTACTACCTTCTCACAAAGACTGTCAGGATTGTATGGAATTACAAAAATTAACAGGCTAAATCAAGTGGCACATAGAGAGCCCTAGAAAAACAGTTCTTATCTCTCCTCTCCTCTTTTTTTTTTAATTTTTATTTATTTTATTTTATTTTATTTATTTATTTATTTTTGAGACAGAGTCTCGCTTTGTTGCCCGGACTAGAGTGCCGCAGCATCAGCCTAGCTCACAGCAACCTCAGACTCCTGGGCTCAAGTGATCCTTCTGCCTCGGCCTCCCGAGTAGCTAGGACTATAGGCATGCGCCACCATGCCCGGCTAATTTTTTCTATATATTTTTAGTTGTCCGATTAATTTCTTTCTATTTTTAGTAGAGACGGGGTCTCGCTCTTGCTCAGGCTGGTTTTGAACTCCTGAGCTCAAACAATCTGCCCGCCTTGGCCTCCCAGAGTGCTAGGATTACAGGCGTGAGCCACCGCGCCCGGCCTCTCTCCTCTCCTCTTTTCATGTGGGAAATGGAGCTCTGGCTGCCAGAGCAGGCCAGGTGCCCACAGGCTTTGGGGCTATACTTCCAGGCCTTGTATGACAGTGGGTACATGAGCTAAGCTCCCTGGGCTTTGGTTTCCTCTTCTGTAAAGTGGCAACGCTAATTAGAACCCATTTTACACAGCTATTGTGGGCATTAAATGAGTTAATACTGGTAAAGTGCTTGCAACAGTACCTGGTGTAGAGCAAATACTCAATAAATGTTAGCACATCAGCTTTTGTATAGCCCTTACCCACGTTCCTTGCATTATAGCTGTTTATGTGTCTAACTCCTCCACTACAGGATAGAGAAAGGGATCATGTCTGATTTACTACACAGATACAGGCATTTGTTGTTCACTTGAAAAACATTTTGGGGGTAGAGGGAGGGAGAGACTAAAACATTGTCTGTAGGAAGAAGCAGCTTTTTCCTTAGCTCTTTACCTCTTCCCCAAGGTGACAGCAACCTCCCCATCTTTGAGCAAGGGTACGACTCAGGGCTAGTGTGAACCATCTGGCTACTTCCAAGCCTTGGAATCAGCTCTGAAGCACCAATTCTCACCCTTTTCTCTGCCATGACACACGTGACACTATGTGATGGTGCGTAACATACTCCCACAGGCACCCAGATTACAGGCTGCAGTACAGATAAGGTAGGCTGCATGTCACGTACAATTCCTGGCACACCAGCTAACACGCCACACTATCTCCCCCCTCAAGGAAGAGTATCAAAAAGCAAGAAAGAGTGGCCAGGCGCGGTTGCTCACGCATGTAATCCTAGCACTCTGGGAGGCCGAGGCGGGCGGATTGTTTGAGCTCAGGAGTTCGAGACCAGCCTGAGCAAGAGCGAGACCCTGTCTCTACTAAAAATAAAAAGAAATTAATCGGACAACTAAAAATATATAGAAAAAATTAGCCGGGCATGGTGGCGCATGCCTGTAGTCCCAGCTACTCGGGAGGCTGAAGCAGGAGGATCGCTTGAGCCCAGGAGTTTGAGGTTGCTGTGAGCTAGGCTGACGCCACTGCACTCTAGCCCGACGCCACTGCACTCTAGCCCAGGCAACACAGCGAGACTCTGTCTCAAAAAAAAAAAAGCAAGAAAGAAAAAGTGATGGTATTAGAGAGATGACCTCAAAGCTTATCAAATTTATATAAAAAGGAAATCATTTCCAAAATTTGGACAGTTTCACTAACAGTGGTAATAAATTACATGTAACATACTTCCCAACTGATCACAGTGCATCAGATGAGAACTGCTCCCCTGGGGAACAGATCTGATCCCCAGGAGGAAAGAGTGAATCTGAGTGGAGGGAAGAAGAAAAGGAGCTGAACTGGGCAGCGAGAGAGATAATGAGCCACTGGGAGGGAGGGAAGGCCCAGAGAGAGCCTGTGTGGTGGGGGTGCGGGTGGAGGGTAGGGTGGGAATGGGCATGACAGTTAGGGGTAAGAGAAAAGAGAAAGAGACAGTGTGAAGCCAGAAGGAAGTAGAGCTGGGCTAATAAGATTAAAGAATGGGAAGAGAGAAAAGAGGGAGACTGGCTAAAACTCAAACTGGGAAGAAAAGAAATTGGCATACTGGGCTATATTGCTTGTGTTTCCACAGATTTGCTTTTAAAGAATTGAGATTTAACATAACATCATGTAGACTGCACTTTTGGTAAAAACTGCTTTTCATTTAAAAGCCTTTATGGGCCGGGCGCGGTGGCTCATGCCTGTAATCCTAGCTCTCTGGGAGGCCGAGGCGGGCAGATTGTTTAAGCTCAGGAGTTCGAAACCAGCCT